AGTATTAATTGTTATGGCTGATGGTTTAGGAGGAACGGACGTCTTTTCATGTGCAGAGCTCTTGTAAGAGGGTAAACTCTGGAATTCGAACCCGGGCAGTTGAGTCGAATCTGTCAGAAGCATAAGTTTTGTTTAGAGATTATGTTTAGCACTGGTTACGGCAAATTTTGGCGAAGAGTATGAATTGTTACGGCTGATGAATTACAGGGGACGTCTCATTTCTTCTTCGAATGCGCTCGCAAGACGAGCGTAGCTTTCATTTTTTGTTTTTTTGTTAATATTTTTTGACAGACTGGAGATGTCCGTTTGATTTCTTCACTAATCGTTTATAAATAAAAGAACGGCAAATTTGGAGTACAGTTTTGTGTATATACTTGCAATAGTAGCGGATTTATAGGTGTGGTCCTGCTAACTTCCATTGGAAGTTAGCATGAACACATGTTTTTGAGAAAATGACCCGCGGCAAATTTTTCTTTTCCACATCTTTAAAGCAACAAAAAAGCGACAAATGATGAACTGAGCAGTTTTGTGATTGGATGAAATGGTCCTACTAACTTCCAGGACGTCGCGGGTGTCAACAGGCGCAGAGGGTGAGATGATGGGTGTGTCCAGTGCGGTGCAGCTGGCTCTAAATTGAAAACAGGCCCACGTTTCGGGATGAGAGGACGCCGCCGCCATGGGAGGTCGATCACATGCCCCCAAAGTAAATCGATAATCGCGATTTTTCCAAAATCAGCCTTCTAGGTAATCTGTTGCTAAAAATACAATGAGAAACTTTTTCACCATTTATTTGTTTCTAAGCTTCTATTCAAGGTATCAAGCTGAGAGAATTGCGGAGACGAGGAAAATAGTTGAATTTGATGGTATTTTTGTGAACTAATTTTGGCGCAAATTTTTGAAAATGATGTTGAGTGATAACATAAGAGAAGTGTCTTAGTATTTTTGCCTTGAATGTATGTCATGTGACAATTTGTAAAATATTTCTTCGGGATTTTTAAACAATGGATAGTGCTAATTGCATTTTTAGGTATGACAATGTTGATTTTGGAGTCTCTTTTGTTTTAAATTAATTACACAAATGTAATTTTTCGAAAGAACTCTCACGCCGTTTATATGCACATTTCCAGCAATTTGTAAACACTATTGTATTTGTGAGTTGCTACAAATGAGTTTTAATGGAGTTGATCGAAATTCAAAAATGGTCTTTGAATGGTTTGAAGCTTCAAATTTCGAATTTAAAGTAACGCTTAAACGCCATTTTTTTTAAAAAGGTTTCAAATTTTCCAGGTTTTACTGCTCTTTACTAGTCTCAGAATAATATTTCCGCTCTACAGTAATAGGCATCTACAATAATATGTGGCATGGTCTAATAGCTAACCGGGAGCAAAGGAAATAGAAAAGTAATACGTGAAAGTATGTGCCTTTCTGGAGCACCACTAGTTACTTTCTCGTATACGGAGTAATATAAGTAGTATAGAGAAAGTTTTGTAATGCAGCAGAAAATCGATTTCGAAATTTCAACGGAAATACATGTTTTAGGTCCCTTGATACCGTAAAAGTGTTGTTTTTTACAAAATGTCCGTCCGTCCATCTCTTTGTTCGTCCGACGAATGTAATTTTAAAAAATTACGAAATCACATTTTTTTCAAAAATGGCTAAAATTTTTTCTTTAAACTTTTGATGGGGACAGTGTCCAATATACTTTATGAGATGACATAAACGCCATATAATTTTTGTTTTTTCAAAAATTACAAGAATATAGTTTTTTACTTCGGTCTCACGTCGCTAATATTTATATCAGCCTCGATTTGTTTACCCAATTATACTTATAAGCACATGTGCTTTAAATAATGTCATAAAGTTTCTGGAAAACACAAACGTATTGTCAAAACGAACTCAAATTTCCACATTTTCAGAAATGCATATAGTACTAATTGCACTCTTTGATATGTCATAAGATTCATTTTGCTGATATAAGGCTGATTAATTACTTTGTTTGTTTATACATATATTTATTTATTCATTTATTTATTCTTTTATTCATTCATTCATTAATTCATTCTTTGAATGCTTGTTTTTTGTTTGTTTATTTATCATACGCTCTTACATTCGAGGAGAAACTTTAATGGAAATATTTTGTGCAGGTTTTCAGAAAATATTTTTCGAAATAGCTTAACTTTTAGACATTAATTAAGAGAAATCAGCTCATTTTTATCAAAAAAACCTATACGATCTTTTTTAAAGAGCTGATTTTCTTACAACAGACTTTGTTTAAAGCAAAAATCTCTATCTCCAACTTTGTAGTGTTGAAATGTTTACATTCTTTTGGTATTTGCAAAAAATGGTGCTATAGCCAAAAAAGAGAATAGCACCATATTTTTTACCGTCTCTTATTACACATGGGGCGAAAATTTATAGAAAAAAATTGGAGCGGTTTTTGAGAAAAGAATTGCTTGTATTTTGGGCAATGTTAGACGGAAACTACTCATATTTTCGAAGAATTGAACATGCACGTACTTTTATTTAAAGATACATCTTTAATTTCTTTACACTATCTAAAGACAAAGTTTGATCAAAAAATTTGGGGCCGTTTTCGAGAAAATTGTAAAAATGTTTTTGAGGTTTCATGTAAAGTACCCTCAAAAATCAAAATATACGTTTGAAAATCCGAAAGCCCACGACTTCATTCACTTTGATTACAGAATATCAATTTTGAAGAAAATGAGCTAAAAGGTTTAGGCGCTACCGTTGACCTCGTGCGGACGGACGGACGGACGGACGGGCGGACGGACGGGCGGACGGACGGGCGGACGGACGGGCGGACGGGCGGACGGAAGGGCGGACGGACGGGCGGACGGAAGGGCGGACGGAAGGGCGGACGGACGGGCGGACGGACGGGCGGACGGACGGACGTATTGCCGTCAAACGATTTTTCAATATCAAGAACCAACAAAACATGGATTCTGGGAACATCACATATTAGAGAATTTTTTCTTCTAAATTTAGTAACAGGTTATATCCACTTATTCGTAACCCGAGCCCGGCAATAAGAGTTTTTCTGGCGAAAATTCGCCGTGGCGCACGATTACATTACTTTTTCTTCTTACGAAGAATTTGTAAGGGGAGAAACTAAAAACAGTGTCCCAAAACCACTGCAAATTTGTTCAATTTTTTTCACGGATAGCACCAAGGATGCTTCAAAGAATGGCGCAGTTCTCATCTTCGTTGAACCCGAGGTTTACCAAAACTAGGAATAATGTGATGTTTTTCTCCACTATTTTTTATTTCAATAGTTTCATTGCAATTAAGTTGGATAATTCAACCTTTACTAGCTTAGTGTGATGATCCGACAGTTTTGCCACAAACGATGAACCTAACTGTGTGTGACGGAAGACCATTCCCAGAGTGCACAATTAGTGTACTTTGTTCTTAATGTAGAAAAAATTAAGAAAAATATATGTTATCTATGCTACAGTAACAAGTAAAAAATGCTTGAAAGCTGAGACTCTAGTAGGGACAAAAAGGTAATTTGAATCCCTTTGTTCAAAAGAATCGTTTAAATTTGACATCAAACTGACTAAATATGTCATTTCTGCGCAATGTGGCAAGTTTCGAAGAAAGTTTTTTTCATGAATCAGAGAATTTAAGGATTCGAATGTTGCATTCCTAATTCTCGCTTACAATTGAAAAAGTCGTACCGGAAATACAATAATAGCCTAAATAAATGATTCTCAAACTGTGGTACGCGAACTGTCAGGAATTTGCGGTAGACTTATAGAGGAACGTAATTAACTTTAATAGGAAAATTGAAAAACTAAATTATTCGCATAACTGAAAAGAACGAACGTTCTCTAGTTTTTCAAATATTCTAGAATTAATAGGTACAGGAACAAATACTTCTTTACTTTGTTAGGCATGAGTATAATGAATGAACCATTTATTACAGACTTCCTGACATTCTTGTATCACATTTACCTGTAGTAATACATTTATGACGTTTCGATCCCTTTTAATATTTTAATATTCAAGATGTTAAATGTTTCATTTTTAAGGAATATTTTAACGTCTACTATTTGTAGTAGTTTACTGACCTAATTAAACAGACAATTAAATAATTTATTATTGATTTGTGATATCCGGAAGAATTGTATATATATATATATATATATATATATATATATATATATATATATATAAAGAACGTCGTTTGTTTTTATTAGTGGTGGTTGGGAAGACATTACGAAGGATGGAAAATTTTTGGCAACTCGGCAACTCTACCCTTAAACGAACTACACGCCAGGAGATTTTTTTCTCCATGGTCCATAATGAAACGGTTTTGCGGTCACAAATTTAAACTGACAATTCAAATGAGAATATTGGCGACATTAGAAGTTGGCACATAGTAATTTGGAAACATTCCATCTAAGAGTTGGAATGTTCTCGACAATATACTGTTGATCATATGTTTATTGGTCACAACAGCTGGGAAAGAAGAGCAACAGGTTAGCTCTACATCCGAGCAGAGTTGGCTCGGACAAAACGACACACACAGAATCCGTATTTTAAATGCAAATAACTGTTTGTCTCTATTACCCGGAACAACTTGCCTATTAGATATTGTTCCAACAAAAAATTGACCTGTTTTTACAGTTTGATTTACTATTCCTTATAAAAATACATTGGTAATGACTCAATAACATTTGGATAACGAATGGCCTATTGCTACAGTAGGAAAATAGTTAATTCTGCGAATAATGAGAGTATCCGAGCTTAATCTGTAATACATCAAACATTCATAAATACAATAAATTGTTAAAACATGATACTAAAGAAGAAATTTATGAAAAATAATTCTATTTGTTGATCAACATCGGTAAACATCCGTTACCAAAAAATGTTTATGTTGAACTACTTTTGTTCCCGTTTAAATATATATTATGTATGTATATTTACATAATGAGGGTTTATTTTACCTGTTTTTAAAACATTTTCGGTTTTAGGTCGGATAAACGTACATAGTAAGTGGCTGAAAAACAGTACCTAAAGATTCCTACATTGTGAACAAATGGAAAACAAAATGACGAACGGCGATGAAGTGTAGTACATGTTCTAACTTGGAATGGAAACAACTTTCACATGATGTAATATTATGTGAAATATGTTAATGATTTCTCAGAATAATTCCATGTGAAGCTTCATTTCATAACCTTTTTTTACACATTTGTTCCTCTTTCCGATACCTCATACACCATTTTATACTGTTCTTTGATGAAAATAAATCAAATAAAATAAACTTAAAATTTGTGTTGTATTAAGTTTTGTAAATTATTCATAATTAATTATTTTCAAACGGTTCTATTAGATTTAACAATAATATTGCTTTTAACAGAATAAAGCGAAACATATTTTTACGTGTAGTGGTATGCACTAATATTAAAGACAATCTAATCAAGCATAATTTTAACACTTATTTTATTGGCATTAATCTACTACGAAAAAATCGAAACATATTTTAACATAGTTTGTTCTCTTTATGAACCGAAAAATCAAAATAACTGGGTTCTGGACGTAATTTATGATCCTCCCGGTAATGTATGTGAAATAGACGCGCACATTTTAAGGTTAGGAACATTTTCCTGATGCAACTCTCAAAGTTGGAAAAGTAGACCGTAAATTAACTTTGTAAATCTTAATGCCTACCAAGAACGGAATGATTTTAAAACATTATAATACTTATCTATCCACTGCATTTTACATTGTCATTACGTTAAATTTTATTATATCAAAAACAAAGCGTTCGCAATCTACACATTAAATGTTTACAGATTCCGTAAGTAAGTTCCGTACACAGATTTCGTATGAAGAAACTAAATACTTCAGTAAATCAAATTTCATTGAATGAAAAGTGAAGTGAAAAGTGTTAGATCATGAATATATATTCAAAATATTTAACTTTGTCATAGTACAAATCAAAACTTTTTATTGTATCTGTTAACGTATAAAAATGTTTCACCTTTGAGCAAGGGCACAACATGCACAAAATAATGTAGTATAAGTATACTCACAGTTATTTAGTCATTAAGTTTATAGATGTAACTCACCTGTCCATTATTCAGTATCACTTAAGCCGCAAGCTAATTCACAAGAAACCGTCAGTCACAGCGCCGTGTTATGTGATACGCATACAAATTTCTTCATTGAACTATTTTTGTAGATAGCTTTATACTGGAATCTGGAATTTTTTGAAAGCTATTTGCTTACCGGCCGATATCGAATATCTGTCACATTACATGATTTTTCATATTGCCAAAGCATAGAGGAAGAGATAGATTTGAACTTATAATGTGGAGGGGAGAGAGGCGACCAATGACATCGTTAAACAAAGTAAGACGGTATTTCAAGTATGGTGTTAAATAGATGATCGATTAATAAGATGGAAGTTCAACATTTATTTCTGTATTTAAAATAAATGTTAAAAATTATAAACAAAATACTGTGTTTTTTTATTGACCCTTTGTCAAGTGTTAACTATGACACATTCTAAAATTTCTAGATGAAAGTATTTAAATGATTGACTTGTTTCAGTACAGATTTATTATTAATATTATTATTTCTTCCTTTTGAAATACAGGCAAACACACTTATAAAATTGAATATGATTAATATATCAGCTTCGTTTCTGAAATCTTTCTTTGCCGCCCTGAGGTAAACTGCAAAGAGTAACTATTTATAACAAATACTTTTTTAATAAATTTATTTTATAATAATAAAATCATTTTCCTTTTATACAATTTCAGTTTGTAATAAAATCGCAATTATCGCAAATCGCAAATACAAGGTAAAAATAAGTTAAATTATGAAAATTGGTTATGTTATGAAATGATCAATCGTGGAAAGAATAAACAATAAAATAAATAAAAGTGGCGAATAACAGAAATTTACATCTACATATTCTACATTTTAATGTATCTTATACATTTTAATTGGGTACACTTTATTGAATAGTTTCAAATATTTATGTTTGAGAATAATAAAACTAATGAGATGTTTCCTTGAATAGGAAGTTCTTTGCCTTCATTGTGGTCATTTTCTGTGTGATTAATTTCATTGTTGTGTTCCTTTTCATGTAATGTAAGTCAACGATGAATGAGTCGATTAATAAAATTGAGAGGAAAGTTATTTGAAATTAATTGTGCTTTCATTTTAAATATATTTTGGTTAAGGTAAAGAGAATCTGAAACATAATGAGTCTACAATATTATAATTTCAGTTTTATGCCTATTAGAATATTTTAATAAAACTTTGTGATGCTCCCAGAATAATTAGTTTTTAATACCAGTTTACGGTGTTTCCATCTTTGTTCCGTGCAAATCGACACGTCCATAATGTATATGTTTTTATTGAATTCCATTTCCACTGAGAATTAAATATTGCGATCGTATGGCTTTGGGGCGTCTAAGATCAAATTGGCATATTTGTTAACCACAATTAAAAAAATGTCTTCAGCATATTTGTTATATCAAAATATTTAACTTGGGGAATATGTTTCTCTCTAAATTTTGCATCACTAATCGGAGAAGATTGAGCTGTTCAACCACCAATAGGAGTCCCATAAGTTTGTTGATATAATATGTAGTCGAAACAAAATTTCCAGTTATTCAGTATGCTTCTGACCATTATAACTATTTCATGGGATGGAATATTATTTTTTTAATACATTTAAATATTCCTGTAGACATTTAATAATGCGATGTTGAGTAATGTTTGGAAAAATTGATTTTATATTGAATGATGGGACGAGATGGTTATACAGCACTCATATAATTGAAAATTCTGACAAGTTCTAGATTATTACGGACTTTTTAATTGTCTAAATTCAAAATTGGTTTCAATAAATGATCGAGGTATATGCAGGTGGCATATTGTGGAGATCTAATCTTTGAATCGATTGGTCTCGTTGTTCTCACAGGAAACAAAATGTTATGAACTACGTTCAATATGCTAAAAGCGGGAGGAATATTCTCTGCGGAAGGGTAGTTATAGTAAGTCTTTGTATTTATATAATTAATGCTTATCTGTCTCTTAAAAATAGCTTGAAAATATTTGATAAACGAATTTTGTTTACTCTTGTTGATGGTATAATATTTCGAAGTAGTCAAAAATTGTCTCGCCTTTAGTGAAGTAGAAGAACTTACCTATGCAGTGGTGTAGCGTGTATGTCAGCTGCACGGGGCGGAGGAATATTTCGCCACCCCCGTATTTACGTATTTCAATTTAAAAGACTAAAACAGACAGTAATTCTAAATAACGTTTCGGTAAGAACAATCATCAATATTGTGTTGTTTGCAGGTTAAAAATAAAAATGTAATGTGTGTTACATCACAGTTTATATGTGATTTACAATATAATAATCATAGTTTTTGCTGTTGGATTGGTAAACGAAAGTTTTGTAGAACTTTTCAAAATAATTACTAATAAATTTAAAAAATATAACATACTTTATTGGAATTTACTTTTTCTAATTAAAAAACAAACAAATTAAACCTTGCACACGTAGCAGATAAGCAAACATACTATTACTTAAAAAAACGTAAATAACATTTTTAATTCTCACATAGTCGAATGTATACGTATACGAACAATACAGTTTTTCAACGAAGTTCAATAATTTAACAATCACTACACATACTTAATTTATGAGCCCATCTATGAGCACTAAAATTCCAGTTTGGTAAGCGCTTACATATATACGACATAGTTAATGTGAATTGGATGAATTGGATGACTGACAATCCATCAATGACACTTTCTTTGAATTGTCAAAGCATCCCTCACTGATTTCTCTGAAGGGACTTATCTGTACTGTAATCTAATTTGCAGGTGTTATTATAGAATATTGAACATTATTCTTTATATGATAGATGCCATTCTCGCTAAGTAATGGTTATAAACAATTATTATTATTATTATTATTATTATTATTATTAATATCATTATAACTATTATTCATTGTGAAATTTTGTCACTCCCTAAATTTGTCGCCCGGAGAAGACGCCCCCACTATGCTACGCCACTGTATCATTGATAGCAAAGGATATCATTATAAACTGATTAGACGAGACAAAACCATATTAGCAGATTTAAATTTCACCAGGAAATGTCTTAAAGCTCATCCGGATTTACAAAATATAAAATGTGATAAAGGTGGAATTTATACTGTAATAGGTAAGCACCACTACTTCACTACAGTCAAAGCCCAATTTTTAGATTCTACCATCAACAAGAGTAAGCAAAATTTGTTCATCAAATGTCAAAGATATTTTCAAGTGGTAAAAATATGAACTGCATAGATACTCTAACTATAAAATTTACCATCTAACAGGGAATATCCCTCACGTGTTTGTCTTATTGAAGGGACTACACAAACCTTTGTTTCCTACGACACCTGTCGTTTTAACGATTGGATTCACACAATGCAATCTGTAAATACCTCAATGATTTATTAAAACCTCTTTTGAGTTTAGACAACCAAAAGTGAACTTTTCTAAACTGAACTTTTCTAAATGTCAGTCATGTACAATTATTTAGAAGAACAAGTATTTTTCACATACTTTCTGCTTGCAATTAATGCAACTTTTTTTTAAATCCTTAAAAATTTCTAAATATTTTATTTACATTTTTCCATGAATAAAATAATAATATTTCTTTGTGAAAAGAATTGCGAACAAAGAAAGATTTTGGTCTCTAGATACAGAATGTCATATTCAAACTCCAATGACATTTTTATTCTTACTGAGATTAGATGAAGGAAAACCAATTTACACATTTATTTTTAACCAAGGCAAGAAGAAAAAATCAATTTCGTGAAATAAGGCTTAAAATTAGTAGTATGCCTAAATATACATTTACTCAAAATATACAAAATAAAACTTTGTGAAAATTGTTAATTTAATAATGATTCTCGCAAATTTACAGAAAACCTTTAAATGAGTTCTTTGGAATAAAACGGACATTTTACGAAACATCTGATCTCTAGTCATTACAAAGAACGAAACGTATCTCAAAATCTATAAACATGTGAATTGCCTTTCTTTTAATTCACAGAAAGAGT